GGGGGGGGGGGGGGGGGGGGGGACAAGAGCAGTGTCTATCTACCTGAACGGAAGTCATCTCACAAGCGAAATCTTGGATAATTTTCGGTGGAAGATCGAGCATGACGTCTTCCTTCAGTCGTCGCAGCATGAAGGGTAGAACCAGCCGGTGGAGACTCTCAAGAGCCAAATGACCTGTAAAAAAGGCAACAGACAAGCATATAGTACATGGTCATGTTTCAAATTAAAAATGGCATGCAGTGAAAGGCACTGACCTGCTCGCTGCTCGACCCGAGTGGCCTTTGGATCACGACTGGCGGCAACCGGACGAGAAAATCTAGCCACGAAAGTCGATTCTGAACCCAAGAAGTCTGGCATCAGAAAATCAAACAGGGACCACAGCTCACAAACCCTATTCTGAATCGGTGTTCCGGTCAGAATGAGTCGATGTCTGGCCCGTAGCTGCTTCAGAGCACGTGCGACCTATGCAATACACGAATTTGAGTGAAACGGAAATGAGAAAGATCTCAAGAGCTACCATCAACTAACTGAAACCACAACGATGGTAAGACAGTTAAGATGAGAATGGAATCGTTCAGAGCGTGAAAACCAAAGCTTCTCATGAATAAACGAGTGGTTTCGTAAGAGACGACATAATAGTCTAAAGGCTCCCCATAGGTGACTTGAAGGAAATACTACATGAATCATGTTTGATTGATTGATGGAGTGTCTCGGTTGAACCATGAAACGGAAATTTCGGATAAACTGGTTCACACTAAACCTAAAATTATGTGGTATAACTGACACTAGTAGAATGTATGCTAAGTAGTATGACAAAACCTGCAACGAAGCTGCACCAGAAGGAATATGAAATGAGTTATAGAAAGTACACAAGTACAGAAAACGCTAAACAAAAGGTTACCAAGGAATCTGATGTAAAAAAAGCACACACCTTGGACTTGCTACTTTTGATTATATGTCCCTCGTCCAGAACGATGTAATTCCAGAAAATCGATCTGTAGTGTAGGCGAGGAGGGAAGAGAAAGAGGGAAGAAAAACCAACAAGACGCAATGTTAGCTTAAGAATTAGATGACATCAGCTGGAACAGTAATGAATGCACGATGCTTGATACGATAAAAGGCGATTTATAAGGTAAACCTTGGACTGATGCTAATATAACAAAAACACGGTGCACACGTTCGACAGAGAAAAAAGCCTTTGTTTGAAGCCACCATTAGAACGATCTGGTAGTCATGACCAGAATACAGAAACTGTCGCTTATCTTCTCTATATTCCTGTATTTCCATAGATAGTCTTTAATTGGTTGCAGCCTCATTCTGAAAATCGACTGTCCCACTATACATCCGATAAATGATAAGCTAGAAAAAATTACCATTATTATGAAATTTCGGTCGCGGATGTTTGCTTGGGTAATCTGTTGACTCTGAACAACCATGTCTTGATTTATTAGACGTGTGAAGTGCTAACAAAATAGTGATGCTTTTGTTCTGAGCAGTTGCCGCGTGTGCTCTGTGTGGCATGGATAGTCGAATCCGAGACTTGCATTTTTTATAATCCAGATTACATTTATATTTCCCCAGCCATCCTTCATTATCTCTTGATCCGTGCTACGCCTGAGTCGACCGGGTAGACTGTGTTCCCGCACCCGTATCACCTTCGGCGCTTAGTTGCTCGCC